CATCTATAAAATCGTATCTACATCTCATGTGCTTTTAGAATATGTAATAACAATTGGGGGTTACCTTTCATTCTAAGGAGCTATAACTGATTTAAAATATTAATATTTTTATGCATACATAAATTTTAACGCACGCGAACGTGCACGCTAAAAAGCGTGAAAGAAAAATTAAGGTACCTGACAACAATGACCTGAAGATTATGCTCACTATAATATGATGACATGGGCTCATCAATGTTTAAAGGAAAGAAAGATGAGGGGGGTCAGAAAATTTTTTTTTCTGACCATGATGACGTCATCAAAATGTAAAAAGAAGTCATATATGAAAGAGAATTGTCTTAGCTATAACATACTCAAAGTTGGAAGACGATCGATCAAGGACAACCGAGATACGCTCAAATGCGTATTCTCAAAAATGATGTCATCAATAAAATCAGTTTTGTTGAATTCAGATGGCAATAAGGTGACGTCACAATATCCGATCAGCCATTATGATCTAAAAAATCATATCTACAACTCATGTGCTTTCAGAATATGTAATAAAAATTAGGTGTCACCTTTCAACCTAAGGAGATATAACTGATTAAAAATAGGCCTGATTTTAGCATAATTTCACTGTATAGCGGCACAAATACGCGCAAAGATACCTATGTTTGATGAGCACGTACGGTATTGCTATTGGCCAAAAGATGACCGAAAAGAATGGAAATTTGTGAAAAACAATGTCAGGAACCCAAAATATGTAAAATAACATAATTTCTAGCTTTCGTACGTGCTGCGCACGTAAAAATGCGCACGCGTAGTGAAAAATTTCAAAAAAATTTGAAATGCTCAAAATGGCCTAAAACGTACTAATTTAGTCAAAAAGTGATTTTGAAATTTTGACGCACGCGTACGTGCGCGTAGTGAATTAGGGTACAGTACATTCAACATTAACCCGAAGTTAATGCTCACTTAATACTATTTCGAAATGGCAATTGGTTATGCTGATATTTTAGATAATGTAAAAACGCAAAATTGCGTGTAGATGACGTCACGCATGACTGACCGCGTTGAAAAGCTTACCATGACTATTCCAGACCAAGCCAAATGTTCGCTGACAGCGATTGTGCGTAACTTGTGGCAGTTTTTGAGATATTGTGCGAACAGAAAAGGGGAGAAAGAAAGAAGAATAAAACTAGATTTGAACTCGTCACTGAGGACGAGTTAGGTGATCCGCCGCACTTTGACCCACGAGGAAGTGTGCGCGTGGCGGATTGAACAATAATTAAATGCTGATAATGGCAAAATACGCTAATTTAGTTTGTTAAAAAAGAATTTTGAGCATTTTAAAAGATTTACTCATGCGTATGCACACGTCATGACGCACGTGCGTGCCTATTGGTGAAGGAGTAATGATCATTCATAGTATTTATCATATAAAAATTCAGTTTTTCTTACTTCAGGAAGGCAGTATGGTGACGTCACAATGTCCGATCAGCTATTATAATATATAAAATCATATCTACAACTCATGTGCTTTTAAAATATGTAATAAAAATTGGGGGTCACCTTTCATTCTAGGGAGCTATATTGGATTATAAATAGGCATAATTATTAGCATATGTAATATTTGACGCACGCATACGCGCACGTTAAGACGCGCAAACAAAAAAGTAAGATACCTAACATTCAACCTTGATCTGAAGTATAAGCCCATTTAATATTATTCAGAAATGACGAATGGTTAAGATGATATGACATCATCAACTTTTTGAGAAAAGAAATATAATTTGGTGATCCGCTAACGTTAGCGGATCACCTATTGTTATTGTACGGAATCATCTTCAACTTTTTTATTCTTCTTTCTTTCTCCCCTTTTCTGTTCGCACGATATCTCAAAAAATGCCACGAGTTACGCACAATCGCTGTCAGCGAACATTTGGCTTGGTCTGGAATAGTCATGGTTTTCAACGCGCTCAGTCATGCGGTCATCTTTTGGCCAATAGCAATGCCGTACGTGCGCATCAAACATATTTTTAATCAGTTATAGCTCCTTAGGTTGAAAGGTGACCCCGAATTTTTATTACATATTCTGAAAGCACATAAGTTGTAAATATGATTTTATAGATCATAATGGCTGATCGGACATTGTGACGTCATCATATTGGCATCTGAATTAAAAGAAAGTGAATTATAGCTATGATGTCATTTTTGAAAATACGCATTTGAGCGTATTTCGCTTATCCTTGGACGATCGTCTTCCAACTTTGAGTATGTTATAGCTTAGACAATTCTCTTTCATATATTTGACTCCTTTTTACATTTTGATGACGTCATCATGGTCAAAAAAATTGTTTTTTCTGACCCCTCATTTCTCTTTCTTTAAAACGTTGATGAGCCCATATAATCTTAACCATTCGTCATTTCTAAATCATATTAGGTGAGCATGAGCTTCAGGTCAAAGTTGAAAGTTATGTACCTTAATTTTCCGTTCGCGCTTTTTAGCGTGCACGTACGCGTGCGTCAACATTTATATATGCATAAAACCATGAATATTTTTAATCAGTTATAGCTCCATAAGATGAAAGGTGACCCCCAATTTTTATTACATATTCTGAAAGCACATGAGTTGTAGATACGATTT